CTCACTCACTTTACTAGGGTATACTGTGGTTGTTTAGTGCTGCAGCAGCGATATTGTGACATACACTGCGTGTCTGCAAAGCCTGGAATATTTATCACCTGGTAAAAATGTTTGCCCACCCCTGGCTTCTGCCATCTGACGTCTCTTACCAGGAGGAGGAAGGAGCTATGGCGCCAGCTGGCCACCTGGTGTCAGCATTTCACCACAGTGGCTTCAGCCCCATAGGCCCCTCTAAGGAACCTGAGACTGGAGCCAGCCCTTGAGCTCCTCCCCGTCTGGCTGGAGCCTGCAGGGCGGGTGCGGGGCTGGTTTGGGAGGTGCAGGTGGCAGCCTTTTCTGGATGCGCTGTTTCTTTGGTTTTGGTTTAATTTGTATTCTATATAGGAAGAGTTCTCCAAATAGACTAGAATTGTTCATTTTACCCAAAACTAGAAGTCAAGAACAGTTTTGCACAACGAGGTAAGGCTGTGACCCTGTTCCACGCTGGGAACCAGCAAACGCATGAAGTGGGGAAGGATGTGGACGAGGCTCAGCCTGGCGTCTCTGGCAGGTTTTCTCCATCACTTTCCAAAACCTGGGCCTGGAAACTTCCTCCAGGCGGACAGGGAGGAAATACATGAAAGTGCAAGTACAAAGGGAGGGAGCGAGGGAGAGAAGCCGGGAGAGGATGCCCCAACAGGAAAACGATAAAGCCCCCGAGACAGCACGTCCCCACGGGTTGCTCAGCCGCTGTGCTGAGCGCTTTACTCCCCGGAGCCTGCCGGTTCTGAAGCCCATCCTCTCGCCACCCGGCCTCAGCTAAGATCACAGCAGGCAGCATGCCCCCTCCCTCCCCCACTAACTCCGCCAGTGCACATGGCCTTCCTCACCACGCCTCCCCAGGCCTGCTGCCCCGTGAACGTCCACTGAACAAACAGATGACCAATACTGTGGTGAAGGGTCTTTCCTTGTCCGATCGCCCACTTCCAGCGAGTCCACGCTGCACGCAGGAAAGGAGAACCAGGAGCCCGGTTCTTGCTCCTAGCAGAGCACGGCTCTCTTCTGGGTGGGCCCCGAGGACCACAGCCTCTTCGGGCACACTGCCTGCTCTTGCCTTTCCCTCCTCCAGGCTTCCCACACACTGGCTGGCTTCCTTGCAGGTCCTAGCCGGTCTCCTCGGACGGGGACGTCTGTTCCTGCAGGTGCTTTTTAGAGGCTGCGGACAACGCCTAACTTCCAGCCGCTTTTCCGATGAAAACTTGTCTCCGGCAGGCTGTCCCTCGGAGAGGCCACATGACGGTGCTCCAAGAGGGTCTGGACGACCAGTTTCCAGTCCTTCCCATCGCCTGCTGGGTGCCTTTGGGCAAATTCCCTCCCTTTATGGTTTGTCCCTCTCTCCCTGCCTTTGTGTTGGACTTTTGGAAGGAAATGTGCAGATAGGGTCACCCAGGGCAGCCCCGGACCTGGGTCCACCCGGTCTGGAGAGACGGGGAGATGACGGCTGCCCACCAAGGACACACACTGAAAGGAGGACCTTCCTGGAGGAACTGGTTGGATCAGGGAGGACTCTTGATACACCCAGGCCTTAAGTAATTAGATAGCAGAGAGTAGACTCCTGTGTGCCTCCCATGGAGTCCCGGAAGTCGGAAACGGACCGAAAGGTCCTGATCGGTTCTGGAGGCCCCGCCACACCCGCATCGATCAGCCTGGCTTATTCCATCAGGCGGCTGCCAGGTTTTCAATCGAGCTGCTGGAGCGGGTACCGGTGCAGGGCCTTCCTCAGTTCCCAGCCCGGCAGGCGAACGTCCGCAGGGGAGGGGTGAGATGCTCCGGTCACCCTAATGTTCTAGGCCTTCTGGCGGGCCCAGCGGTCATGCAGCCTAAGAACGCTCTGGCGTCGGTGCCTGCCGCCTGCGGACCTTCGCTAGGTCCTCCCCACCTCGGTCCGGGCCAGCTCGCTGAGGCCGGGGCCTGCCTTGCACCAGGGCTCCTGGCACAGAAACCACCGCAGCGATGGTCACAGTGACAGCCGCGGGGCCTCCGGGCAGGGGGACGGATGCGGTGCACAGCGGATGACGAGCTGTGTCCAGGCACACGCGGGGCTGATTAGCTGCGGAGAGGCCTTTGTGGGTGCTCGGCGCGAGCGCTGTCCTCCCTTCCCCCTGGGCCTGCCCTGCCGGCCGCCTTCAGAGGAGGGGACGCGGCTGGACCCACACAGCTCTGTCCGGTGGCTCTCCACGCGGGACTGCGCTGAGACTGGAGGACGGGGGACAGATTGGGCGCGCTGGGGGAAGGCAGGCGGACAGGTGCACGCAAACACCTGCTCCGGGGGACCAGCGCTAACGCGGTAACCAGAACCAAGATGGAAGATGCTCTTATGTCCGTCACAGAAAGCACAGCCTTTGGCAAGCCAAACCTCTCTGGGCCACAGCACCGTTTTAGGGGGGACACACATGCAGGCACCCCGAGGGACTGCAGGGCTGCAGGGCAGAGTGGACCTCCCCCACGGGGGCAGTTTGAGCCGTTCCACCCCCACCCCACCCCGGGGACATTTGGCAACATCTGGAGGCATTCTGGGCTGTCTTATCTCAAGGGGTGCTACTGGCATGTAGGAGGGGGAGGCCAGAGGTGCTGCGAACATCATTTGTGTGTGGGACAGCCCCTCCCCCAACAGGATTTTGCGGCTCCAGAGTGTCACTAAGCGTTGAAGGTGAGAAGCCCGGAGCTGGAGAGGCAGGCTCACGTGAGGTGGGGTTCGAGCAGAGCCTGGAAAACGGGGACAATAAGGCCTGTGCCGCTTATCACACAGTTCTGTGAGGCTCAATCTCTGAGTGCGCGTGTTTTAGAACTTTATTTCCAGCCCTAACTGGTTTGGCTCAGTGGATAGAGCGTCGGCCTGCAGACTCAAGGGTCCCAGGTTCGATCCCGGTCAAGGGCATGTACCTTGGTTGTGGTCACATCCCCAGTAGGGGGTGTGCAGGAGGCGGCTGATCGATGATTCTCTCTCATTGATGTTTCTAACTCTCTCCCCCTCTCCCTTCCTCTCTGTAAAAAAAATCAATAAATATATATATTTTAAAATTTTATTTTCAGAGCTCTTTCATGAGCTTTTCCAAGATTGAGGCCCCCAGTGAGCAAAGCACCCAGCACAGTGACTGGTATATAGCAGGAGCTCAATAAATTAAAAAGGAAAAAGCAGCAAAGTAGAAGTCCACTCCCTCTCTGGCTTGTTTCCTCTACATCTCAAGGCTGCCTTTCTTGGCCTAGCACCGAGGTCGGCAAACCGCGGCTCTTGGGCCCCTTGAGTGTGGCTCTTCCACAAAATACCACTGCCTGCGCGAGTCTATTTTGAAGAAGTGGCATTAGAAGAAGTTTAAGTTTCAAAAATTTGGCTCTCCAAAGAAATTTCAATCCTTGCTCTGTTGATATTTGGCTCTGTTGGCTAATGAGTTTGCCGACCACGGGGTTAGACTTTCCGTTGGGCTCTATACAGACTGGGGGCCATGGTGCTAGCAGAGCTGTTTTGAAAGCACCCTTGAGGGATCACACCCAGGACTAACCATACCTAACGACAGACATCTGGCAAGAGGCTGGGAAGTCTTGCTAAACCTCAAGGGGAAGCTTCCTGGAACCATGCAGGAGCCGGTGCTTCCAGCCCCAATGGGGCAGGATCGGGGGGGGGGAGGGGCAGCAGCCCCGGGACTCAGCCCTCAGACACCTGTGCTCCTGGAGGCCACCCTTCTCAAATAGCCACCCCCGCTGTGAACACCACCTACAGGACGCAGGCGCAGAAAGCGGGCAGCTCAAGTGGTGGGGGACGGAGGCAGGGAAGCCAGGCCCCCACGGACCATCCCTCTGGTCCCTGTTTCTCCCCGCCCCCCCTTCTGACGCTCCCGGACTTGTGCAAGCCTCTGCGGGGGGGACCAAGGGCATGATCCACCCTTGAACTTGCCATCCAACTGGGAAGGCCAGCTGTCCCCTGGAGACTGGATAGAGGCTATGTCACGGAGTGTGTGTGATGCTGGGACAGAGAGGGCAGAGGATCTAAGAACCGAGGAGCCAAGACACAGGCCAGAGTGGGCTGAGCCCGGGCGGAGGGGCGCACTTCGGGAGCCGCATTCTCGGGTGTCTGGATTCCCAGCAACCTTTGCACCTGTCTCTGCGCAAGCCATCTCCGGGCTGGAGGGGGTCAGAGGCCACTTGTCCGAACCTCTGCTGGGCATGAGGAGGCTGGGCCACAGGGCCGGTGCCTGCACTCTTTCCCATTCCACTGCGTTTGTCGTCCACCCCATTCTACGGGGCCAGCTACGCCCGCTCGGCACCCACGGAAACTGGGGCGGGAAGGAGGCCTGGCTCGGGGCCGTACTAACTTGGGCCTTCCAATCTGGGTCCTCCTACGCGGCAGGCGGGGAGGGTGCCCGGCCTGCTCTGGGGTTTTCTCGCTGAGGAGGCCCCAGAAGTCCTTGCGGAATCGCTTGGAGCTGGTCCCTCGCCGGCCTCCTCCCTGGTCCCCAGAGCTGCCCACTCTCCGCACCCACAGCGCCCTCTTCCCCACAATGGCCCTCACCCACCTGTGCCCCACACCGTCAGGGGACGGCCATAGCCCCCAGCTGCCCGTCTCTCCCTCCCTGCCTGCCTGCCCTTCCAGAACAAGCACGGGCCACTCTGCCAGGCTCTGGGGCATGAGAAGCACTTCCCAGAACATGTTTAATCCTCACGAAGGCTCAGGGGGTGGGTCAGGGTCCGACCCTGGATGAACAGAGGAGCCCTGGGAACCAGGCTCGCGCCCCCCCCCCCCCCCCGCACACACCCCACCACCCTCCCCTCCCCTTCCCTCCCCTCCCCTCCCTGCGGTTTTTCTCCAGTGACTGCACTGTGCTGGCCACTTCCCGCTCCTCACAGACATCTGCTCACCTCAGCACGGCCGGACGGGCCTCCCACCAGCCTCCTCAGACACCTGGGCCCTCCCCGGTGCTGCCGGTGCCCCCCGGCTTTGCAGAAGGAAAGACACAGGAGACGAGTTTGGTTCAGAAGTGAGAGGCCTGGTGCATTCAGGGTTCACAGCGCTGGCTCTGACCCCCCAGCGCCTGCCGGGGTGGGGGTGGGGGCCGCTTGCTGAGCCTGCAGTTTGGCAATTTCTCAAGTGTGCATGGGCAAACTCTCCCCGCAGACCCCCGTCACACAGTGGTGAGGGTGGGATGTGACTCCAGGCAGGGCTGCTGGCCTGGCACCATGGTAATCAGGCCCTGTGGAGAGGCCGAGGGCCCTAACCAGTCCGCCTTTCGGCAGGGGGCTAAGGCTGGTCTTTGGCTGAAATGTAACCAGACGAGGAACCTGAGTCCTGGCTGGTGATGGGGGTGAAGGGCCATCTCGGGGGCGGGGGGAGGCCACCAGAATCTAGATTGGCCAAGCTTTGGGCTGCAAATCAAGGCACATTGGGGGAGGGAGCAGCCCCAGGTGAAGGCACTCCAAAACCCCATCATGGCTTACAGGGGGCAACAGCCAAGGAGGTCTGGACCCCAGGCAGAGAGCTCTAAGATGGAGCCGAGTGAGGGAAGGAGCCCTCAGCATCCACGTCTGCCGCTGCCTCCCGAGGGCGGTCTTATCCTCACGCCATCAGGGTCCAGAGCGGGAGCCGCAGGGACCGCCCGGGAGGCCACATGAGCCGGCGCCCTAGCTGACCCAGGATCCTCTGCCTTCAGTTCGAAGGCCCGTCTTCTCCCCTTGTATTCCATCAAACCTGCCGGGGGACCAGAAGCACCAGGACGCCCGGGAGAGGAGGAGCCAGGGCCTGGGGCTGCCCGGGAGAGCCCACCACATCGAGGCAGAAAGATACGGGCTCACCCCCTCTGGGGCCCTGCGGGGCGAGGCTGGCCTCGTGGGCGGAGGGAGTCGGGCATAAAGGAGAGAGGACACCAGTCAAGCTTCCACTTCATGTAAACAAGGAGGAGCGACCCCTGCCCAGGCACCCGTAGTCGCGTGGCGGCGCGTGGCCGCCGGGGGAGGGGGCAGATGTGGGGCGCAGGCTCCCTGAGGCCGGGGCGGAGGCTGCCGGGCAGGAGGACAGGAGGGGCCCGGTGTGCAAACTGGTGCAGGGTTTGACCTGTGTTCGCCACAGGACGGGCGGCGGGGCGGCCGGGTCCTGGCCCCCGCGGGCCCGCGGCTCAGGAGATCACGCAGTTGCTGGCCTTGGCAGGACTGGGACTCGATTTCCCTGCGGAGACAAGAGACACGGGCGGGAAAGGATGTGAGTGAAGGGCTCAGGGGACTTGGCTCCAGCGCCTCTCCTGGAAGCAGGGCGGTGGGGCCCAGGGATGCGAAAGGAAAGACCGCTGTGGGGCGGGCCATCGAGGGATCTGCCCTCTTCTGATCTCGGGGGGCCAGTGGGGAGGACGTAGACCCCAAACCAACAGATATAATCAGTGACAGAAAGTCTTGCTAGAAGGCCGTTCGCCTGTAGCTGATACCGATGCGGCCTCAGAGCCCACAGGCATAACCGTAGCCGTTCTCACACCCATCCTCACGGCAGCCGCGCCTGAGACGCTACTGTCAGCCCAGAGCCTCTGGGCTCCAGAACCTGGTTTTCCAAATCCAGGCGCAGCCCCCTCCGCCAGGCAGGCTGCCTGGGTTGGGGAGGACAAGCTGCGCCTCGGGAGGTGGGCAGCTGGCCGGGAGGCGGTTTGAGTGGAGGGAGAGGACACAGTCCGGGGACAGGAGAGAAGGCAGCTGTGCCCTGGGCTGGAGAAGCAGGTCTCCCCTCCCCACGCCCTCCCGTCACCCCTTGCGGAGGCCGGTGGCTCCCTGGGCGGGATGCCTGCTCTTAGGCTGCCAGGCAGACACCGGCCGCTCCCGGCTGCCCTCGAGGCCTGGCTGCCGGCCCCGGCCCTGGAGGAGGGCTGGCTGCCTGCCTCCCAGGTGGACGCTGCCCAGCTGTTCCCTGCCAGGTCCCTTCTACGCGGCCAGGGTCAGGTCCTCACACCACCATCCCATCTCACCTCAGCTGGCAGCTGAGGTGCTGGCTGCCTCTTCCCCTGGGCCAGGAGGGACCCTGGAAGGCCGAGTGGGGTCCCTCGCCCCTGTCCTGCTCCATCAGCTCTCCTTGGGACCTATAAGCCCAGCTGAGCTCCTGGGAGGGGTGCTGACGGCACATAGAGCTCAGAGGGGGTGACTGTGCCCCTCCCCGCCTGGAGGGCCCCAGGGCCAAGGAGCTTGGGCATCTTCCCGGGCGGAGCTGAGGCTGCCCCGGTGAAGGGACAACCACCTGCCGCCCCACAGCCCCTTCTGTCGGCTCCAGAACCGATTTTCCTAATCCAGGCGTAGCCCGCTCCGCTAGGCAGGCTGCCTGGCTTGGCGGAGGACAAGCTTGTCCTCAGCAAGGTGGACACGTCTGTCCCCACTTCTGTTCCTCGTGGCTGCTTTTATTTGCTTGGCCCACTGAGCCGGTGCCACGGTCCTCCCGGGGGCAGCGGCATTTGGGAGGCAGTAAGTGAGATAAGCCGGGGCCGGGAGTGGGCTGGGCAGGGGGGTCAGAGGAGCCTGCCCCCCCTGCTGCCCCCGGGGAGGGCAGGAATCTGCTCCCACGCTCATGCCGAGAGACTGGATGAGAGCCTGGGGAGACCCTTTATACTCGGAATTCATTGTCATGCCTCTGACAGGGAGACTGTCTGAGGGAAAATTCTTTATGTTCCATCGCTCCCTCAGCGCATGCCGGTGCTCGGCAAGGCTCCGAGGCAAATCAGACCTGCTCCGATTAATAGGGGAGAATCATGAACAGCCCAAGTATTTTTTTTTTTTTTAAATAGAGAATTTGTGGCATGGATGCCCGGAGGAGGCTGATGAGAGAAAGTCAAGCTTCAAAGGGAGGTCACACGGAGTGAGACTGCAGGTGGGGTGGGAAGTGGGAGGAGGCAGCATGGAGTCAGGGCAGGAGGGGGGACAGCCTGGGGCAGGGGGAGAGGTGGGCAGGCCACTACACCGACATGGACAGCAGGATGAGGGCAGGAGGCTTCACTGTCCCTCGGGTCTCAGGGCTCCACACACCCCCTTTTCTGGAAGGTTCTTCCCCTGGATGTCCACCTGGCTCTCTCCCTCCCTCCATTCAAGTCCCTTCATCAAAGGGCCTGGCCGCCCGCCGCTCTCTGCAGCGTGGCGTCCACTCCGTCAGGGCGGGACGGGCTCGCGGGGGGCACGGCTGCCCCGGAACGGAGGACGCGACCGGCCCGGAGCCGGCTGTGCAGAGACGGACGTTCGTTAGGCGTTAGTGAGTGACAGGCAGCTCTGGCCAGGTGGCTCCGTTGGTTGGAGCATGGCTGCAGGTTCGATTACCAGTGAGGGCACATATTTAGGTAGTGGGTTTGATCCCTGACCAGGGAGCGTGCAGGAGTTTCTCTCTCACACTGATATTTCTCTCCCTTGCTCTATGTCATGTGAGGATAAAAAACCACCACCACCACCACCACCAACACACACACACACACAAACGAATGGCATCAACAGATGAGGACAGGCCTGAATGTTCACTGCAGGACATGTGCCCTCTACACTCACCTCACCACTGAGATGGTGACAAAGCCCTGCCCAGGCCCAAGAGCAGCCAGAATGGCGGGAGGGCTGTGCCCTCCGCCATGAGAACAAGGGTCCCGCCTCTTCCCTAGTGGGATCAGTGCCGTGGAGGAGGCCCCCCCCCGCTCCCTTCGCCGGGGCCGTGTGCCCGGGGCCTCAGTGCTGACCGTGCCCAGGCTCACAACACGGCACTGCGGTTTAAATGCCGGCTGGGGTCAGGCCCCAGCCCCCCAGGAATGACCCTGAACTGTGGGCAACTCAGTGCAGCGCATGGTCTCAGCCAAGAGAGAAACCGGAAGGAAAGGTGCTCAGCTCCGCCAGTAGAGGGCGCCGTGAGCCTTCACACCAGCAGGCGGCCCCCTGCTGAATGTCAGCCCAAAGGAAGGCATTTTTCAAGGTCCTCCCGAGCCCGCACTTGGGTTTGCATCAATTTCACAGGCTGTCAGCACCTCGCTTTCCTGTTTCTCTCTCCTTCTCCCACCCTGTCGTCAGCCCAGCTCTCCCCTGCGACAGGGCAGCAGAAACGGGAAGAACAGAGTCAGACTCACAGCTCAAAGGGACCTTGGAACCCCTCCCCCGCTCACCCCGGCTCTTCTTGACCGGGAAATGTCCCTGGGAGGTGAAGGGGAATGTCCAGAGGGTGGGGAGAAGGCCTAGGGAGCGGGAGTGGAGGCCCTTGGCCAGCTGCTGTGACAATGGCCTGAATGTTCACTGCAGGACAAGGACCTTTCCCTGGACTGGGGGCCCTAAGGGAGCAGCTGACAGTCCCGAGTGCACCAGGTTACTGGTGCCCACCTTGGGGTCTCCGTGCTGTCAGGAGCCTCACCCTCTGGCTTCCAGTGACTGAGAGGAGGCATCAGACAGCCGGGACTTGGAGGGAGGAAAGCAGCAGGGAGAGGAAAAGTCTCATCAGGGACTTGAACTTCAGGCCCTCAGGTACCGGTGCCCACCCCGGTGGGCAGAGGCTGTGCTGGACGAGGCCACTCCGTGTTCCTTCTAAAGAATGGCGAGGAATCGCGGGATCTTGCTGGGCACACCTTGTTGTGACTCTCGAGTTTGCGGTCCTCTCTCTCACCATCTCTTCGGGTGTCGCGCTCTCTCGGGGTGCCCGGCCCCGGGGGGAGGGGCTTCTCCAGGGCACAGCCCAGGGCTGCTGGGCACCGTGTGAGTGGCATGTCTGAGCAAAGACTGCCCAAGTCACAGAGATGCTGAGAGACTCGGGGAAAGGCAGCAAGAAGGGACAAGACAATGGGCCTTCCGTTTCTATGGAAACAGCACCTCAGGGTGAGGGGCTGAGGAAGAGAAAAGCTTCCACTTCACCTCCGCCAGGACTTGGGAAATGGCCCCTCTTGCGGCTGGGCTCAGCCCTCCCCCTCCCTTCCCTGCCAGGTGTTCACCATGGCAACCCTGCCTCCAAACAAGAGGTGCAAAGCAGCAGCAGCATCTGGTGTTGGGGGAGCTAGGGAGCCGAGGGGAAACGGGACTAGGCCAGTCACCCCGCCCCCTGGCAGAGCCTGGGTCCTGGCCCCGGTCCCCCTCACCCCCTGCAGGGACCACTGAAGTCACCGCTCCTGGCTTCCAGGCTGTTGTGGGGCCAGTGAGAGAGGAAGCACCTGGGGAGGGACCTGGCACATGGAGGGGCTCAGTAAACGCTCCCTGGCCAAACAGGGGTGCAGCAGGGTGCTCCCGCGGGGCCCCGTTCACAGGCCGTCCTCGCTTTAGGAGCAGAGTGTGCGGGCTCTGCGGCAGGCTGCGGGTGAGCGGAGGGGAAGAGCCTGGCACTCAGGCCGCTCACTGTGAGGTCAAAGCCGGGGCTGCTCAGCCCGCCCAGGGCCAGGCCTCAGGCCCCGCCGTCACTCCCGGGCAGGCCAGGGAGCCAGGCCCTGCGGCTAGGCCCCGGAGCCACGGAGGAGCCATCCCCACACGGAAACCTTTTTGGTTCCCAGATGCTGACACCAGCAGAGGCACCCGCAGCAGCCCGGGCCGTCACCGCCGGCCTCCGGAAAGGCTGCATGGAAACTGCTCCAGAGAAAGGGATGGGGCCAGGGCCTCTAGGGCAGGCATGTCAAACTCGAGGGCACGTGCGGCCCAGCCAATGAAACGGTGCGTAAGGAACGTTTTAATGAAAATTTCATGACTTAATGTTTACAATAGCCTGTTATGCACAATTATTAGTAACGAACTACAACACTCGCTAATGACTGATGACTATAATCGTGTTGCACTCACTTCCCTCACTCGCAGGAGCACCATTTCTCTCCACTCACACCAGCAGCGGATATTTTAGCAGCCGATGGCCACGTCATTAGTCTTGGACTGACTTGTTTGGTGTGTGCAACAGGAAATATTTCGCTTTTGGAGAACAAGAAAAAAAGCGTTACGCTTATTAATTTGCATAGTTATTCATTGTCTGGTAAGCGAATGTCCAAGGAAAAATATTAACTTTTATTAAAGTGTTTTATTATTTTGTTACCGATGACTTACTTATTTCAGCCCTTTGTATTCAGCGTGTCTCTATCAAAATAAACCTACGTGTCTATGAAAATGGAAGCTTTTGTTGTTTTGCAGCCCACATACACGTAAGGCTTGTTTATTCGGCCCGTGTTAGCCTCTGAGTTTGACATGCTTGGTCTAGGGCAGCGGTTCTCAGCCTTTCTAATGCCCGGCCCTTTAATACAGCTCCTCAGGTTGTGGTGACCCCCACCCATAACATTATTTCCGTTGCTACTTCATAACTGTAATGTTGTTACTGTTATGAATCGTAATGTAAATATCTGTGTTTTCTGATGGCCTTAGGTGACCCTGCTAGCGGTTCTCAGCTTGTGGGTCACGACATTAGAAAGGGTGAGAACCTCTAGCAGGGTGGCCTAAGACCATCGGAAAACACGTTTACATTACAATTCATAACAGTAGCAACGTTACAGTTATGAAGTAGCAACGGAAATAATGTTATGGTTGGGATCACCGCCACATGAGGAGCTGTATTAAAGGGCCGGGGCATCAGGAAGGCGGAGAACCGCTGCTCTGGGGGATCCCAGTGGGACAGCCAGAAGGAGATCACCATCACCATCAGGAACAACCTCTCCCGGAGGTCGGCAGCCCGGCAAACACCGCTGATCAGATAAACACGGGAAGGAACCCCGCCAGACCACGTTAGAGCAGAAACGAGAAAAGTGGGTCAGGGCGTTGGTGGGGCGCAGGGGAGGGTGGGGTGTGTTTGTCCAGGTGAGATCCTGCTGACAAGGAACAAGCTTTGCCAGCTGGAGCCCTAAGCTCAGAGGCAGGGTCGGGCCTTCGCCCGGCCACTCCACTGCGCTGTGGCTCCATGGCTCCATCTACAAAGGAGACACTTTCTGGGCCCTCAGTGGCAGCAATAGCAGCGCTCAGCCTCCCCCACGCCTGGCGCTGCTCCGAGCGCCTTATATCCTCAGGGCAGCTGGGCAAGGCGAGCCTCACCTCCCTGCCAGAGACGAGGGGCGGGAGCCTCAGACGGGCAGTGCCTGGCCCGGACCAGGAGCTGGACGGGAGCGAGGGCGGAGGGAAACGAGGACGGTCTGACCCGGACCGGGGCTCTCTCACGCCGGCACCGCTGCCTTTCTGCAGGTCCAAGTGCATGCTCCCCGGTACGTAAGGTGACCAGATGTCCTGATTTTTAACAGTTGGTGCCGCGTCCCGCAGCGTTTTAAAATAGTCCCGATCACAGCACAAATTGTTAAAAATAGGGACATCAGTACTGTTTCAAAATGCTGAGGGACGCGGGACAAGTTGTAAAACATTGGGACTGTCCCCGCCAAAAGCGCGGGCCGTCTGGTCACCTTACCGACACTGGCCAGAGGCCGGGGAGCCCGGGCCGCCCGGAGGGCTCACCTGAGGCGTTGGCGCCGGAGCCGTCGTTGGGCCTCTTGCCCTTGAACTCCACTTCGGCGAAGTTCTCGGTGGAGAGGGAGCCGGCCATGCCGTTGGGCGCGGCGGGCCGCTTGGCGCGGTGGCTGAAGAGCCGGTAGCTGAAGCGCTTGCCCCCCTTGGCCTGGGCCGCGTCCCCGTTGAGCGCCTCTCCCTTGCCGTTCTGGGCGAGGGCCTCCCGCGCCTTCGGGTCCCCGCGCAGGGGAGCCGCCCTGCCCTTGCGGCTCAGCTCCCCCATGGGCACGGGCTCCACGGGGGGCAGCACCTGCTCCAGCGTCACCAGGTCGTGCAGGAAGTTCTCCAGGCGCTGGGCCGACTCGCCGCTCGGGCTGTCCTCCTCCTGGCCGCCGCCGGCCTCCCGCTGCTGCCGGGCGGCCCAGCGCATCATCTCCCCGGGCGGGTGGCGGCTGGCGGACACCAGGGCGTACTTGGGGTTGATGAGCTTGCGGGCCACGGTGGAGGAGGAGTAGGGGCCGAATGCGCCCGCCCCTCCGGCCAGGCCCAGCTGCTGGTGCAGGTTCACCTCCTCGGAGATGGCGTACAGCTCCCGGAACTCCACGTCGAAGGGCTCCACGTTCTGGCCCGTCAGGAGCAGCAGGAGGTTCCTGTCCACGTACGAGGAGCTCCAGGTGAACCTGGGGGGGTGGCGACGGGAAAGCAAGACACGTGTGCCCGGGCCCGTGGCCTCGTCCTGCCACGCGGGCCCGGGGGAGGGGGGCGCCGTCCAGCCTTCGTGCTGGGATCCCGTCCCTCCACGGGCCCAAGCCTCCCTTTGGCCCAGGTCCTGGCCTCAAGGGCAGAAAGCAGGCAGTGGGTGCCAGGCGAGGGGCTGAGAAGTCGGGCCCGGGTTCCACCCTGGTTTCTACCCCGTGTAACACGGGGCTCATGGGGGCGCCGGCACAGAGCTGCTGCGAGGCTCGCGTGAGATAACGTGCATACAGTGGCTAGTGCAGCGGCGGCCACAAGCCCACGTTTAGTAAATAGACACTGGAGCTGCTACTCTTTCTAACATCATTCCGTTCCTTGTTGGTTTTCCTGTGACTTTTCAGAGCACCGAGTGTCTGTGACAGCCCTGCGTGCGCTGTGCAAGAGGACGCAGGCCTGCCGAAACCGGTGTGGCTCAGTGGATAGAGCGTCGGCCTGGGGACTGGAAGGTCCCAGGTTTGATTCCGGTCAAGGGCATGTACCTTGGTTGCGGGCCTCTTGTCGCGCCCTTGCTCCCATCCAAGAGGCCCAGTAGGGGGTGTGCAGGAGGCAGCTGATCGATGTTTCTCTCTCATCGATGTTTTTAACTCTCTATCCCTCTCTCTTCCTCTCTGTAAAAACTCAATGAAATACATTTAAAAAGAAGAAGAAGAAGAAGAAGAAGACGACGACGACGACGATGATGATGACGCAGGTCCTGTGTGGCTGGTTTCGGTACCTGGGCTTCTCTCTGGCAGCTAGACTTTAATTCACGAGGAGGGCAGACCCCCCCCGCACAGACACCGCCTCCTACGTTCCTGATAATCTACTTTAGCCTCAGAATTCAGGGGATGTTCCTTCCGTGCCACACCCTCACATTTCTTTCCCCGGATCTGACCCATTCTGCTTCCTGCTTGTCCCGCCTGACGCGGGGGACCGCGAAAAGCAGCTGTGCTTATGTCCGGGAAGCGCTGGCCTCTCTCCGGGATAACCCAGTGGCCACCACGCCTGAGGGGAAGGACGAGCCGGGAGGCTCTTCTTTGCCGTCGGATCAGACGATACCTCGGGAGTGGCCACGGAGGCCCCGCCAGCCCATTCCCGAATATGAGCGTTTATCACGAGGAAGAACGGCCTCCCCGGCCCTTCTCTGACCTGTACGATCCCGTGGCGACTTTGTCACCATCGACCATTAAGAACTTGGATGACAGGGTCCCTCTGATCTTCCCCAGGGGCATGTAGAAGCCAACGCCCGTCACGGAGCGGACACGGATGTTCTGTGGAGAAGAAGAGAAAGACGGGGTCACGCGGGCTGGGCAGCGGAGGGGCGCTCTGGTCCACGGGACCTGCCTGCCGGCCCCTGTCTGCACTCAGCCCTGCTCCCCGTGGCCTTGCAGGAGAACCCCAACTGGACGGCGGGGAGAAGCCAGCAAATCTCGCGTTGGGTGTGGATAACCTCAGGGTGGTTCCTGCCTGTGCCCAGAGCTCCCCAGAAGAGAGCCACGGCCCCAGCTTTGACCTTGGACGATGGGCTGAGCACCCAGATCTGGGCCAGAGCTGCCTCCTTAGCCTCAGCAGTCTTGTGATAGAAAGTAAGCGTGGCGTGTAAGTTAGGGTTATCGGTTCGCGAGATCAGGTTTTAGACAGGAGGGGCTGAGATCGTGATGTTCGTCTGAGCCCCTGAACCGGAGAGGAGACAGAGAAAGGGGCAGAGGCCATCCCTGTCTCGGTTTCTGGGCCTCACACGCCAGTTCTCAGCGGTGCGACTCACCCGGATGCGGTAGTCCGTGAGCTCCAGGCCCTGGCACATCTCCAGGAAATACTTCACGCCCGGCTCGTCCAGGAGGATGTACACGGGCACCCGGCGCTTCGAGGCAGCGTCCACAATGTCTTGGAAGATGTCGCCGTCGGTGAAGAGGTCCATGACCACGGCAATGACCTGGGTGGGGAGGGCGCTGGTGAGGCACGTGGTGACCTCACACCCGCAGAGACACGCCTGGGCCCAGCGAGGGCCCGCGGACCTGGAGAGACTGGTGGCCAAAGTAAAAAACTCCGCCGGTACCTCTCCTGGCGCCTCACTCCTCACCCGCGTCTGAGCGCCTCTGCGCCCGCTGCTCTGGGAACCCCGAGGGTGCAGGCCATCCTGACAAACCTCCCCCCCTGAGGAGTTCCCAGCAGAAGCCGGATGGGCGAGATTGGGGAGGTGGAGACAAGCAGGCTCAGAAGGTGTGATCACAGAGAGGCAAGGAATGGACTCGTTCCCACAAGCCTCGGACCTGCTCCAGAGCTGCTCTCTCTGCGGGCGCTCTGATCTCCCCGCAGCTTCCCTCAGGCAGAGCTAAGGGAACAGCCCTGCGCTTCCCTGTGGGCCGAGCAAGGCAGAGCTCCAGTGAGCTCGGCCTCCCCGGCCTCCGGGTGTGCAGGCCATCCCACTCCATCCTCAGAGCAAGGTCACTGCCGACGACCCTGGGTTTCCATGCTGGCAGGCTGGGCCTTCTGCAGCCGGAGGCAAGCTTTTCTGACCTCAGCTTCCTCTATCTCCCTCCCCCGCCCCAGCCCCCATGCAAGGGTTTTCCTGCTGGCCCCAAGCACTGTGCACATGACGCAGAAGACAGAGCAGGCTTCGGGGTCAGAGAGATCTGGTTAGGCGACCTTTCCTTGGATGTGACCTTAGGCAGGTCTCTTAATCTTGATGAGCCTCCTTATCTGCAAAGGAGAGGTGCCCTGTACCTCTCCGCTGTTAGGATGACAGACAAGGTCTGTGAAGCATCTGGGACGGAGCGAGTCCTCAACAAACGGACGCGGCTGTGTGGGCAAGGGCACCTGCTGGTCTAGCCAGGAGACCACACCTGGTGCCATCTCCCCGCTGACTGGTCAGAGCGCCAGTTTCCTTGGCAGCAACATGGAGCGAATAGTAACACCTATCTCAGCGCTGTCGGGAGGGCTGAGAAACTGTGGGAGCAGTTCACACAGGCCCCTGCACATGGGAAGCCCAATGAGTGGTACCCTCCATATCATCACCGTCATTAAAAAAAAAAAAAAAAAAAAAAAAAAAAAAAAATATATATATATATATATATATATATATATATATATATATTATATATATATATATAAAATTGATTTTTACAGAGAGGACGAGAGAGGGATAGAGAGTTAGAAACATCGATGAGAGAGAATCATCAATCAGCTGCCTCCTGCACATCCCCAAGGTACATGCCCTTCACCTGAATCGAACCCAGGACCTTTCAGTCCGCAGGTCAATGCTCTATCCACTGAGTCAAACCGGTTTCGGCATCACCGTCATTTTTATCATCACCATCACGCAGGTGCATTGCCACGACTCCTGCCTCTAAAGAACCCCACCCCCAACGCCATCCACACAACATTACTCCAGGCTCTTCTGAGCACCTATGTTTAACATCCCATCATTTACACAAGTAACACTGACTGAGCTGCCCAGGCAGAGGGAGGAGCTAAAGACAAATAAACTATAATCCCTAACTTCAAGGGATTAATCCAGGAGGAACGATAAGACATTTGCACAAAAGAACTAAGACATGAGGTGTGATGAAATAAACGCCTTAAGAGATGCACAGATGAGATGTGATGTGAATTCAGGGTGGGGGCCAGGAGGTGAAGGAAGGAAATACATTGATTACTCTCAGCCAGCAGAGAACAAGAAACACTTCAGCGAGGAAGCTGACATCTGGAGAATGGGCAGCAGGGGGCACCACGAGAAATGGGCAGAGAGGGAGACAGAGCAGGGAAGAAAGGAGAGGGATGGAGAGTTAGAAACGTCGATGAGAGAGAGACATCGATCAGCTGCCTCCTGCACACCTCCTACTGGGGATGTGCCCGCAACCACGGTACATGCCCTTGACTAGAATCGAACTCAGGACCTTTAAGTCGGCAGGCTGATGCTCTATCCACTGAGCCAAACCAGTCTCGGCAAGGGGCGCCTTTTCTAACCTGCACACAGGTGCCAAACGGGCTGGCAGGTGCCTAGCAGGTGGGCATTTCCGGCAAACAGCACAGCAGAAAGGCCTGAAGGCAGGGATTAACATGCACTGAACAGTCTTAACGTGCCTCACGCTGCTCCAGGTGCTTTCTAACCTGATCCTCACAATGGGGAGGATGGTGGAGCTATAAAAGAGGACAAAGGGGTAAGTGCAAAGGGGCAAGAAATGTGCCCGAGGCCACACAGCATGTAGCAGAGCAGGGATTTGGACTCTGGTCCTCTGTTTGACCTCCACGATCTTCACTGCACTGCATCATACTGGGTCACAAAGATGGGGCAGCTGTAAGTTATTTTAGAAACATCACGTAAAAAAAACTGGCTTTTAAAAAAGACTAAACAAGATAGATAGACAAATTTCTAGCAAGACTGACAGCCCTAACCGGTTTGGCTCAGTGGACAGAGCGCCGGCCTGCGGACTCAAGGGTGTGTGGGAAGGTCCCCTGCTTGCGTCTATAGACACTTAATGGCGTACAAAGGGTTAATAAAAGTTCAGCACATTTTTTTTTTTTGAGGAACCCAAATAGTTCTAAGATGTGAGAAAGCAAAAAGATCCATAACAGCTAAGCCAATTTTGAAAAAGAAAAGCTAAACGGGGACCCTTGTCCTACCAGAGAGCAGATAGATACACTACAGCGCTATAGTGGTAAGCTGTGGTACTGAAGTAGGAAGGAACTAACGGATGGAATACAATGGAGAGACAGAACCGTATGTGCACCTATCAACCTGCAGGAAACTCCAAGTCTGATGGAGGTAGGATCACACCTTGGTGAGGAAGGTTTAGTAGATGCTATTGGGGAAACTGGTTTCCTGTGTAGAGAAGAATAAGCGGATCCCTACCTCACACTACATATCAAGGTGAACGGCAGGCAGGCTAAGCAGCTAAATGTGAAAGATAAAACTAAGAAAGGAATTGATGACATGTTGAAGATATCTTCATGGCACAGGCAAGAAAGGATTGCTCAAGATTCCGAAAGCAGAAATCCTAAGGCAAATAAAAATTTTTAAAGCCGTGCTCCGCAAATTTGGGATTTTTTGTTCAAAGAAAGATGCCATAGACCACGGTAACTGAAGGAGACTATCTTGTTTAGTCTTTTTTAAAAGACAGGGAGAGGATTTATGCAATGTCTGTGATAAAAAGGAATTAATAATATACAATGATTCCTGCAAAATTTTAAATTAATTAATTTTTTATTTTAGAGAGAGAGGAAAGGGGGAGAGAGAGGAAGAGGGAGAAGGAGAGAAAAAGAGGGAGAGGGAGAGGAAGAGAGGAAGAAGGAGAGGGAGAGGGAAAGAGAGATACAAATCAATTTGTTGTACACTTATTTATGCATTCATTGGTTGGTTCTTGTATGTGCCCTGACCCAGGATTGAACTTGCAACTTCGGCGTACCTGGACGATGCTCTAACCAACTGAGCCACCCATCTAAGGCCAGGACCTCTGCAAACTGGCAAGGAAAACAAACAAACCAGGAAACTAATTAGGAAAATGAGCAAAGGATATGAAGAGGCAAGTCCTAGGGGAGATATCTGAATGGCTAATAAGTATATAAAGCGATCAGAAGAATTCAAATTAAAGCAAAGAAATGGCGGGAGGGAACACTGGTGCAGCTACTCCCAGGAGCAAGGAAGGGCGCTCGGTGAACGGTGTGTCTAACGGCAGCCAGCACCCAGGAAGCCTCCTGGGCCTCTGCACGGGTCCATAAGGGACCAGGGACAAGGACACTCACTGCAGCTTCCTTTGGGATAGCAAAGAGCTGGCAACACCTTAATGTGAATTTCTAGAAGAACAGACACCAGGTATGTCAGGAATGTACACAGCAGCGCAGCAGACAGGAGCAATGAACTGTCTGCACACAGAACTTGGTATCTTTAAAACAGAGAGTTTGGTTTAAAATGTTAGAGGACAAGATCTATAGCCTAATACCGGCGTCAATAAAACAACACAGCGTGTTTTTCAAGGATACAGACATGGCCAAGGACATAAGCTAAATACCCAAGGGTGACTGCCTAGGGGAGGTTAAAGGGAGGGAGGGAAGGAGGAAGGAAAAGGAGAGGGAGGGTCCTACTTGGACTGATGGAGGCTGTGGAGCACGGACTGCGACTCACAGTCAGCGCCGTTAAGGAGATCCGGAACAGACGGGGGCCTGGAGCAGTTGGGGGTAGGTACAGCGGTGGGGCTGGGCTTAACTACAGAGGTTTTTAACGTGACACTTCTGGCCTCCTTCCGTCAGAACACGGCTCCCCCCATCTTGGAGGGCACCTGATGTCTGATCGCCCCGTGCCGTCTGAGCCCGGGCCCAGCAGATGCTCATTTCCAGATGCTCCACAGCGTCCAGCTGGAAGCCGGCTCCCAGGCTGTGGCCGGGGCCGGCTGGACTGGCTCTGGGAGGCACGGAGGCTTTTGTTTTGTGATGGAAAGAGCTGCCCTGCCCCCACCCGCTAAGGCTGTGACCGGACGGGATCACAGATGGGAGGGAGAGAAAATCCGAGGGCCCTGTATTCCGGCTTGGTCTGGCACCCTGGTGCAAGCCGGCCATCGGTGTCACCGCCAATTAAACAGTGAACTATCTGTCCCAGGAAAAAATCAATTGCTCGCTGACTCGCGACTCCGGCAATCTCGTTGTGGAGGAGAAGCGATAATTACCCTCCCCGTGGGTCTCCCAGGCCCCCGTTGGCACCCAGCTCCAAGCGCCAGGCCGGGGACAACCAGCTCCCCCCACTCTGCCCGGTGTGTAATGTGCCGTGTGACCCACCGCACCAGACTGGGCTTCAGGACTCCTGGCGTCAGTGCCAAACCAGGTTTTAAAAGAAGGACGTCACAGGCTCAGAACCGGGAGACAGATTGCATCCAGCCCTCCCCGGGGCAGGCTCGCCGTGTCCTCTAGCTGGTACCCACGGACGGACGTGCGGTGCCAGCG